AATTAACATGTAGCTCTTCTTGCTGAAGTTAAAGAACCAACATATTTTTAACATCAAGTTTCTACAAAGGAGAAAACAGGAGAAAAATATAATCCCTTCAGTTTTAGAGGATTACCAAACCATTTAATTTTCCCTGGCATTTCCCTTCTCATGCATGAAAACGTAATTGAGTCTCCTAACTTTTTGAATTCTCTGTCTTTTGCAACAGCAAACTAAAATAGTTTGCAGCAGCTGAACAGGGAAGTTAAAGATATGACTGTCTTAAACTGCTGTTGTATAAATAGCTTGTTTTAGATAATAGTAAATTGTATTCTAGAGTAACCTTCAGAATGGATTAACCAGGCAATAAGAAAAACAAACCTCTCCTTCAGGGGCAAAACATGTATTTGTTAACTGTATGGAGAACAGAGCCAAAGAAAACATGTTGGTTTAAACAATGCAAACAAGCCCAGAGAAAGGCCTGGCTGCTGCTCCGTTCACAGAAGGCTGCAAAGATGTGATGCCCACACTGCTCTTGCCACTTCTAATCACTGCGTTCAGGGCACAAAGTTTTCTTTCATCTTAGGTGATATCAAACCTCAGCAAATATCCTGAGTTGGAGAAATTCCTCATGCCCCCAAGAGCTCACAAAAGAGATCCTGATGTAACTGCAGAAAAACCTAGGGCGAAACATTCTCCCATCTTGCCAAGGCTTGTGTTGTGCCAGCACATTTTCCAGCAGTGCCAAGAACATCTACATGCAATCTCCAGAACGGGACTTCTTGCAACTACTGCCTAAAGCTTCTCCTCCAAAATCAGATAGGAAGGGGGACTGTGGTTGCCAATGAAAAAGCAGTTTATCCAGTTCTTGAAGAATGCATATATGGTAGGTTCATAATGTCAAACTGAAAGGAAGACTTGAAATAGAAACTAGGTTAAAAAAAAAACAATTCCAAATATGCCAAGCACCTAAAATCTGGACAGATTTTTAGATCACGCAGAAGAAAAACTAAAATCTAGAATTAACTGTTCCAAAACTTATTTCAGAGATAACATTTTCTGTCATGCTAGGGGACTGCCATGCTGTGCTATAAAGGAATAAAAGATGAAATCTGTAAGTTTCTATTATACAAATTGTCATTATTTTAAAAACTATTTTTATATTTGGAGAATCGTAATCTCTTGCAAAAATTAACTGTAAATGAAAAAGATAAAAATAACCTGTCTCAGCACTACTGTAGACATCTTCCTCCTCTGCTTTCAAAAAAAACAAATAGGGATGTGGAAAGCTAAGCTCAAGTTTCCAGCAACCCCACCACAGTGGTGTTAGCAGTACTGTACAAAGCAGAGCAAACTCCCTTATTTGTCACACAGTGGCCTGGTAAATCCAGTCCCTGTTCAGCAGAAGAAACTGGGACATGCAAGCTGCATGTTCCACATCTCCAAATCACATCCTCGGACTGCAGCCCCCCTGGGATGCCCTTCTCTTCCCCTGCCCTAAAGCCACTTCTAGCTTGCTTCTGTTAGCTGGGATTTGCAACTTCCACTCCCCAGACAGGGCTTGCTTTGTTTTCGGTAAATACAAGAAATGGATGAATAGAACTGAAAATCCATGAGTCATATCTGTGCTACACTTGAATAAGCCAGAGTCTGTGTGAGCCATGTTCTCCAGGCAGTGAGACAGGACCCGTGGTGTGCAGCAGCTGCTGCTGGACTCCTTACACAGCCAGCCTTCAGGGGGGAAACAAGGTTTCAGCCCTGTGTGGTCCAGCAACACATCCCTCCACCAAGCACACAGCTTGAGACTTCCTCCAGTGAGCAGAAGCCAAGAAAAAGCAAGAGAAACACAAATTACTACTCTGACCTTGACTCATATCTCTGCTTATCATTGTTACTCTGAAAACGAAAGTCACAGGGCTTAAGATCAAAACACAGAAAATACAAACATTTATTGCCCTAGTTCTGACTTGTCGTATCTTGGGGAGCCTTAGTAAACAACCAAAATTTGCTACACATTCTTAGATAGACCACTCAGGAAGTAAATAAAAATAGAACTGCATTAAGCCTGGCAGCCTTTTTTTATTTTTTTAAACATAAAAAGTTTTTATCTGTCAGATCAGCAATTAGCACATGGAATTATAACTTTGGAGTGTTACCTATAATGCAGTAATAAACCATCTGTCTGCTTACTCCAAAAGAAAAAAATAAATAAATAAGACATTTTCTTAGTTTGCAGTATGTTCTTGTCTCTGGGGGAGGAAAAACAAACAAAAAAACCACATTAACAAAACACACAAAGGACACCCCACTGGCAGCACCCTCAGGGAAGGAGGGAGCAAACAGAGAACCCCAGTGCTTCAGGAATACTCTGTGCAAAAAAAGGCACCCAGAATGTTTGGAATAGTCCAAAACACAATGCCCAGTAAGCGAGCCTGCATTCTGCAAAATGGAAGTATAGAGTGATAAATCTTTGGAGGGTGGATTTTTATGAACACTCACCATGATCACAAAAAAGCTCCTAAGTTCAGAAACATAAACTTATATTCTAAAAAACAACTATAAGAACTTAAGGCTAAGTGGACAACTAATAGCTGGTACTCTTGAAAGACATTTCAGAAATTGAGTTTAAAGTAAGCAATTTAAAAAATGTGTTTATTTCAAGGAAGTTGATGCTGTCTCAGTGGACTTCCAAAAGACAATTAACACAAGACAGCAAAACCTAAATCCATTGCAACTTTCAGAGGAATGTTTCTGATACAATGAGTTCTTCTTGGCATTGTTTTATTCACCCTAGGAAATCTCCTTGTCATATATCCCAAAGCAACTTTTTCCATTTGGATATTAACTTACACTCTTCAGAAACAGATGGCTCAGCATCCCACCTTGTGGAATCAGTTTAGCTTTAACCACAAACATACACGATAGGGCTGTGGTGGTGGTAAATTGTATTTTGGGTACACAGAAAGGGATGCCTTGTACACTCCAAATCCCTACATAATCACCTTGCCAAAACAAACAAAAACACAACTCAAATCTTGCTTGAAATAAAGACAGATGACTTAGCTATTATTTTTCCCCCAACCAAACAGTTTTGCATTTCAGGCAGAAGTTGTAAGGATTTAAAATTTAAGTACATGAAAGCACAATTTGTGCAGATTTTAAGAACATTTTGTGTTTTTTTTCCCCTTGACTTTACCACAACCATTTTATAAGCAAAGTTCACAAGTCAGCCATAGAACACATTCATTTTGCCCTACAAGAACCTGCATTCAAACAACATAATTCAACTACCTGCTTAAATATTCTGCCTCACACAGCAAGCTACCTACACAACAGTCCCAGGTGATGGCTAACACCACCTCACACAGTTGTGGAAGGTTTCAGGAGTTAATCTGCAGAGCTGGAAGGGAGAGGGTAAGAACTTAAGAGGCAACATTGCTTCATCCCTTCCTAAATAGGAGGAAATAGTCCAGAGCAGCAGTTCTGCTGCATTTGCATTTCAGTGACAATTCTGTGAGTTTGTGGAACATATGCACAAGTCTTCCCTCCATATCAGAGAAAACCAGCCTGGTTCAGCTGTCTCCTCCAACCTTATCTATGAAGATAAAGAAACCTAATCACTTACCTGCTGTTCCCTTTTGTGCACTGTGTCAATACCCATTTCCACTTGTTATTGCATCTTTTTCCCCTCAAATCATTTCTCCATCCTGGTCCCAATCTGGCATGAATACATGCCTTCTCCAGAATAAGGGACTCCAGCACACACATATTGAGCAGTTATGATTTAGGCTACTACTTGACAAATACATATTTCTCCTACAACATGTGACAGCCACCTCCCTTTTCTAGGAATGTAAAGTATAGTCAGCAAAACAATTACACCATTTTCTTTGAGAAATCATTCCCAGGTATTAATACCCTTTTTACAAAACACAGCTTGTGTTTTTAATAAAATCACATAATGCTAAAATTATACAAGATCTCACCTCAGCAAAATGAGACTTCTTCCATGTGATATGCTCTGTCCTAGATTCTAGTATGAATAGTAACCAAAAAGTATTTATAGTTCATACTGACTTTTTGTCAGATTTACAGCAAGATACTGGGTCAGATTCATTCCAAATAGAAACTAATATTATTCAGACCATTTACGAGGATGAATGAGATTTATTTTTCACTCAGCTACAGCCCCTCTTCTCTGTGGCAACCTGCCAACGTGGTTGAAAAATCCAAACAAGAATACACTTTCCACCTAAAGACAGCACTGACTGCACACAGGCTGCTCAACTGGGCTCTCTGAGGGGCTGCCAGGGGCCAGGCCCAGGATGTGTGCGCTTAAAAAAAAAGGTACTTCAGCTGCACTTCATGCACGCTTCCTTGTTCATGTCCCCTTTTTCTGAAGTTTTCTAGCAGGCTGCCATCAGTCCAACCCTCCCTTCAACTACCTCAGACCCTCTCCCCTTCAAAGTTCAGCCAGCAGCTGCTGTAGCAGTGGCCAAGCCAGCAGGGAAGCCACCAGTCACAGTCTGCAGCCCCACATGCTTTCTACTGGCAGCCTAACTGACTTCAAACAACTTCTCTCCATGCAGTCAACAGGATTAGCAGAATTAAAGCAAATTTACATTTATTAGTACTTGGATTTCCCTTTCCAGGCTTAGAAAAGAAAATAAATGCAGTACAAGCAAAGTTAACTTCCTTCTTTCACTTTTAGCTGCAAATACAATATGAACAGCAATGACTTGTTTGAGCTCCTCCTTACAAAGTGGTCTTTATCCAATTATATGAGCCTACCAAGCATTTACACTTCTAAACACAGGCCCACAGCCACACAAGGTACTTCAGCCCTGAGGCTACATTCATGGTTTGGTGAAAGCCATTAATGACACCCTACAAGATCCTCATACAAGCTCATTTGTTTGCTACGTGCCAGGGGCACAATTTGACCTTACCAAAAAGGGCTTTATGAGCACTATGAACATTTCATTCCACAATATGATTTCATGAATAAGCCAGTTTGAATGCGAGTCTATAATTTGAGGTTAGAATCCTTCAGATCTAAAGTCGTAACGGCATTTTTCAGTCTGGATCAAATTTGCATAACTTAGTTATTCACTCTGACAACTGGGATATAATGGCAGCATGGATAAACTGGAACAGCACTGTCAGTGCATCACCAGAATAGACAACACATAAAATGTGCCTGAGCCAGGATTTGTGGTTTGGGTTTTGTTTTTGTTTTGTTTTTCCTTCACCAATAGTTACAGAAACATGGGCATCGTGACAGTTTTTAGTAATTTCTTTCAGTAAGGGTATGGATAAACTTTGGAATTACATGGATTTTGAATAAGAAAATTACAAACAACTGCTCATAAAAAAAAAAAAAAAAGAGTAGTAAAAAACCCCATTTAAATCCAACACACACACATTTGGAAGCATTTAGCCTTAACTACTTCTGTAATTATCCACTTGAATACAATGTAATTATCCCCGGGTTTTTTTGGTTTGTAAAAGCACAGTACTATACCATGTAGCATTCACTATTCTTTTTCTTAGACACTCGTTCTATACCAACGGACTTTAAAAATCTGTTCGGAAAAATGAGTATGTGAAAAATCTCTTCTCAACCTATACGTTAGTTTTAGGCTCTTTGAAAAGAGAGAACAAGATTAACCACCCACGGGGGCAGGACATCCTCTGACCACTCTCACACTGTCACAGAACAAAATTTCAGTTCTACTTTTAATATTTTGCTTTCACAACTTCCAGAGCTGGCACCAGGTCAGCAAGCCAACCCCTTGCAACATCTACTGTATCAGCTCTTACCTTGATAGGGCAGGCTACAGAAGACACGGGCCTTACTCCCACACACTTGATGTCAGGGTGTTCCCAACCACCGTGAACCACGTCCCCTCCACTCCCAGGCTATAAAACCACCACGCCAAGGTATGTCGGTGGCAGCCACGCAGTCACCTACGTGGCCACGCAGATGTGTACAGAGCCACCCACTCTGGTCGGGCTGCAGGACCAGCCTGACAACACCCCATCATCCAGGAACTTCTCCAGGAACACAGCCCTGTACCTCCACCAAGGCAGGGCGACCGCTGCTCCTGCCCAAACCGCTGCTGTCACCGCCACCCTGGGGTGACCTCCAGGCCCCACGCTGGTGTCCCACTGCCCAAAGCGGGTGCCAGTGCAGGCAGGCCCACGGGTGGCGTGGGATTCCGGGGGCTAAGGGAAGAACTGGCACTGGAAGGCAAAACGCCGGCCCGTGGCCAAGGGGCTGCAGCGGGGCTCCCCCGCCGCCTCACC